TGCAAATACTCAGGCTCTAGCCATGGCAATGGTAGTGAAGTAGTGGAAGATGGTCATATTCTGGAAATATTTTGTATACCAATAAAATGTCCTGACATGCTGTATGTAGGGTAAGGGGTAAGGAAAGGGGTCAAGGGTGACTCTAAAGTCTGTTGCTTGAGTGGCATGGCATATATCATCTGATCATCTAAGATAGAAAAAGTACAAATATGGTATATCAGGTTGGAAGATGAATTTGGCTTTGGACATGTTACGTTGAAGATTTATGAGATGCAAATGGCTATATCAGGTAGGCAATTGAGTGAGTCAGGAGAGAGCAGAGGAATTGAAATACAGAGTACTCATACCAGATGATGTTTAAAGTGATGGAACTGAATGACATAGCTCAGGAATAGGTATAATATTAATAGAATAGAGAGGAAAGAAAGAGAGTTTAGAAAAAGATATTGAGAAAAGCTAGCCAAAGAGAAACAGCAAATCCAAGATATGAGTCTTAGAGCAACATCTTGTTTTGTTTTGTTTGAGACAGGTTTTCACTATGTAGTTCAGGCTGGCCTTGAGCTCACTATGTAGCCCAGACTGGCCTTGGTCCTGTAGCGATCATCCTGCCTCAGCTTCCTAGCATGCCTGGCTAAAAGCATTATCTTAAAAAAAAAGCCAAGTTGCTCTGTATTAGTCACTGTCTCATAACTAGTACAAAATAACTGACATCAGTAATTTAAAGGAAAAAAAGGTTTATTTGTCTTATAGTTCCAATGGGTCCTGTCCATAGTTGGCTGGGTCCTAGGTAGAAATGGCAGGAAGGGAGGGCAAAGCAGAAGAAAGCTACTCTACTCATGGAAGTAAAGGGACTAGGAAGGAGCCAGGGATAAGAATACATCCTTCTAGGTCATGCTACCAGTGACCCACTTCTTCAAACCAGGCCCCACCTCCTAACAGTACATTCAGCCATGAACTCATCAGTGGATTAATCAACCAATGAGTGTAGTGCCCCACAATCTAATTTCCTCCCAAGAGCCCTGCCTCTGGACACAGGAGAGCTGGGAAAGCATTGTGTTTCTAAATCATAACATGCTGTAAGTGTGGATTTTAATAGTGAAAGGCTTTCCTGCTTGCACTTCTTTGAGTGCTCTGATCACCGTAACTCCACTAATGGTTCCAAAGCATTGCCATCCTTCACTGTGATGTCACCACAGGACTGACTCATGGGTCAGACAACTACTGCCACCTGTTTTGAGAAACAGTTTCATTGCACGTAACCGTCCCCATCTGTGTATGTATTGTCTATGGCAGCTTCACCTCATGACAGCAGAGTTAAACATCTGCAACAGAGGCTGTGTGTTCCAAAGCCCTAAACTATTCACTACTTGTTATGTTATAGGAAAGTATAGTGAGCATGAGGTTGACTCACTGGTATTCAACGTCATTAAACACATACTTCCAGAATATTTAGATGTTGACCTCACATATGGAAAATATAATCAGAAGGTGAGCAGATATTACCCTTGCACTATTCAAACTCTTCAAATGAAACACTACTATTATTTTCATTTTACAGTTGATATGATCAAGACATAGGAAGGTTAATTTGTCTGCATCACTCAGCCAGGAGAGGAGAGGTCTGGGCTTGAAATCCATGACTGAAATGTAAAAACCCAAACTACAGCCAACATATCAATGTTTCCCAAAGAAACACATGGACAGTTTTGTGTAGACACAGGTACAGATTTTCAGAAGTTCTAATAATTTTATTTTATTTGTGTGTACATTAGGTACAACTAGCACCTCAGATATGTATTGCTGTTTTAGACACAGTTATAGTGGGCTATATAATTTGAAACAATAAATTTATTTAAGTATAGTCACTATTTAAAAAGAGCCAGGAAGAGACAAAAGTCATGGTGATGATGTTATCAGCTGAATTATGTCCCCTCATAAATCCATCTGTTGAAGCCCAGATTCCCAGCATCTTAGCATGTGAGTATATTCAGAGATTGGCTCATTAAAGAGATAAATAAGTTAAAGAATATTAAGATGTTCTGGCTTTCAAGTTAGGTAAATAAAGTTCTGGTTTTTAAGCATCTTACTCTGCGGTATTTTGTTATGGCAACTTGAGCAAACTAATATAGCTGATAGCTAGATCACTTAAGTTTGGGAGATAATTCATTTATCTGAACTATAGTCTCTCAATATTTAACTTGAAAATTAATATGAGCAATAGGTATTTTGTGTCAGTTCATTTCTTTTCCAATTTTGTGTTCATTCTTGCATGCATTAAAGACTGATGAAGGATGTGTTTTGTGAGGTCAGACAAGGTGGAGAGCAGTACTCAGCTGCTGAGGGACTGGTTGAGGAGAGACAATGGCATCACCTGGTCTGAGAAGAGCCCTTGCAGGTGTCTGACCTTGGGTCATGAAGACCTCACTGGGTCAGCAGCACAGCTATCCGTGGAAAGACAAGTAAATGTTAGCCAGGTTAAAAGGGAAGCACTTTCCAGGAAGGACAGATGTCACTCCCAAGCATCTGCCCTTGGCCAGTAGACTTAGTTCTGCAAGAGTGCTGCTTATCATGGCGATGGCAGACCTACCATCAGGCAAAGACTGGAGTTAATCTTGGGTCTAACTCCATGGTGATGTTGTGGGTCCAGTAAATCCTGAGGCATATTCCCCAAGCCACTCTTGCCCTTGACTCTACTCTGAATGCCCATAGAGTGTAGCAAGCCTGGATTCTCAATATCCCTTGCATTGGGACTAGATCTCACTTCCTGCCTGCCTTTGCCTTGACCTGGACTTCTGAGCTCCTATTGATTATTGTATGACTCTGAACACAACTAGTGACTTGAAACTCCTGTTGCAGTGCATAAAACACAAGAACATCTCCATTTGCAAAGCACTTACTCAAGGCAAGCCTTGATTCTAAGCATATATGCATTATCGCCCTTCATTCTTAGAACACCATCCCATATGAGCATCATTTCCATATGGCAGTACAGAGTGCTGACTCTAAAGAGTTCAGGAAATTACTTGAGAGTACAACAGTAGAGCCAGGATTTATGCTCAAATCTTCTGATGCCCAGACCTGTGTGTTTAACATCTGGGCTAAACAAATAATTCACAAAACCAGTGGACATGACTATTGACCCAGGTGATCTGGCTTTGGAACTGCAAGGAGCAGTTCTAGAATGGATGGAGGTTCCAGTCTTCTCTGTTCCTGCTTTCCTCTACTTTCCAATATGCTCACAACTTACAGCTCCCAGCATACCTCACTGCCAGTACTAAATGGGTAATGGCCATACTACCAGAGAAAGGGAGCTGGCTGAAGACAAGGGAGCAAACAAGGGCCCAGATGAGGACCTCATGGAGGTGAGGCATGTTCCAGATTCTGACTCTGTTATTGGTTTTGGCTGATAAGCTGTATCATCAGCTTATATATTTTTTAATCTTTGCAAGTCCTTTAATGTTTTAAGTCTCAGGTTCAGAATCCTGGCTGTCATGCCAAGTAAGAAGTCTTGAAATGTTCAATGCCTTGTGCAGAGGTTGGGTCTTTCCAAAAAAATTCATCCTATCAAGGAAAAATGTTTCCCCTTACCTGCTAGCAGTGTCTCTGAGGTAGACATAGGAAATGTGGACCCTATTAGGAAAAACAAGGAACGCAGACAAAGGGACAAATTTGCTCCCAGCTTCTGACTCCATCTGAAGCATCTTCAACTCTGAAGCAACTCCAACTCCACTCTTGCCAGGCATAAGGCCATTCCTAAGCCATAGCAGCCTCAAAGAGGGGACCACAATGGGTCCCAGTGTGGCTGAAGCCAGTAGATGAGGAATCCCCATGCTGAGAGGAGATGTCATTGAGCTCTTAGGGAGGGTGAAGTTGTTGTGGGCTGCCAAAGCATAATGCACAAGCCCTGTGGGTGGCATAATGTGGAATTCATCATCTCTACTCTGCAGAGAAGGGACAGGCAGAACAATCCAGACTCTGTAATCAGGCCACTCCAGAGAGTTCAGGCCATATTTATGAAGATGAATAAGAGGGGTATCTGTTCCTTATGGCTGCTGCCTCTGCCACTCAGAGCTGAGGCATTCATATTCATGGGGTGGAAGGACAGCTCCCAGGGGTGACCCATCTGACACAGACATGATGGAACAGAGGTACAGCAATGCTGATCCACACTAGGGGTGGCTGTGGGGTGAAAATATTCTGAGCAGTGAAACAGGGGACTCTAGGAAATATCCTTAGTTATGTGGAATTTTTAAGGGGAAACCTTCCTTGGCCTGCTGTAGAATTACAGCTCTTGGTCTGAACTTAAGACCCCTGAAGAATTTACTTAGTCTCAATTGAGTTCCAAAACCAAACCAAACCAAACCATTCCAAAATGTACTGTTTCCTTATAATTTCCAGCCAATGATAATTCTTATACTCTATCCATTTTTGGTTTGGCCTCATGGGATCCACTGGAGGATTCACAAAAAGTTGTGGATACACATGAAGATTCTGAGCACAGGTTGTATCATCTCCTATTACCACAGGCTTGTCCTAGATCCTCATCCATGTAGCCCTTCCAGGATGCTCCATTAACTAGGCTCTGTTGGTAATAAATCTTTGCCCATCACAGATCTCCAGGGTCCAGGAAGATGACTTTTATAAGAGAGTATAATTTCCTACGAAACTGGACCAATGTGGACAGGGAAAACTGGATCAACTTGGGCATATGTACCATGCTTCTACAAAAGGGAGCAAATATTGGCCCTGAATATATACACATCATCATTTTGAAGCTAGTGGAATTGTTCTAAACTCATGGGTATTTTGCTGTTTCGAATATCTTGAGCCTTGTTATAGCACACCCAGCTCCGGTCCCCAGGCAGTGTAACTTAAAGGATACACACTGAGCCAAATAAATCAAATCACCTCTTTGCAGCTGGCCTCCTGTAGTTTCTATGGAGCCACAGGCTAGTATTTAGTTGCAAGACGAATGTCTAGCAAAGTCGAAAGAGCCTTACCTGCCTTTCTGACATGATGTAAAGTTGCTCGTGGTCCTTGGAGAAGGCCATATCCCGAAGGACTGGACCAGGATCTACCACCTGCACAGTTTCATATTGGAGGGCATTGCCTCTGGGCCCATCCACCCGGATCTGCAGGGAAGAGGAAGGAAAAAGCCAATGTGAATTCAAAACTTTCACTCCTCACAGCCCAGCTTCAGCCCAGACATCTCCCCAAGAGGCAAGAGAGAAACAGTGAGCTTTCTCCTCTGAACTCAGAGGCCAAGGGAGAGGAATGGAAGTGACACAAGCTCACTGTGGTCTCCTGATGGGGTTGGTACAAAGAAGGGGGGAGAAAGACCAAGCTGGGCATCAGCAAGAACATACACTTGTTTTCTCTGGTTTCCTATGCTTCAGGCTCAGCTCTCTGGGTTCTTGCTGGTTTAGGGGGCTAATGTAAGGGAAGGAACTGGTGATTTTGAGGAACAGCAGAGAATTAGGACCATGACAGATCAGCATCATTCTGCCTCTGAAGGGCAGTATTAGTCACTACATTTGTGAATATAGGACAGTTTTGGTGGAAGGATGTGAGCTAATTCTTTGAAACTGCTACCTGGATATCATTGCTATCCTTTGGAAGGGCACCAGGCAAAGAATTAAACCCATAAGTTTCACACCAAGTAGTTTCTTTTCAGCCACTAAAAGTACTGGCTTGCACTTCAGGTTTTAGCTTAGATATCAGGCCATGAAGCTTCCTAGAGGTTCTCTTCGTGTCCACAGAGATGTGGATATGGGCATTACAGGAAAATGTGCTTCTGGCTTAAGTCATCTTCAGTCATCCAAGAATACTAAGGAGAGAAGATCATCCTTGGGCCATTCCTAAATCCTTCCTAAAACTGCTTGGACAGAGTGGGGACAACTGGAAGAGGTTCTTGTCCATGCAACCCATCACTGAGAAGAGACCTAGAAAAGACAGGGGCTTCTCAACCTGACACAATGCTTATCTGGACCTAGAGTGTTGATCTGGTCTCTACAATCATCATGAGCACCCAGATCCAACACAACCACAACTCAGAACTAGTAACACCACCCATAAAAGCTGGGAACAAATACGACTGAGAAGGTGACTAGGTGAGAGCTAGAAGTTGCTGAACTCAACTAGAAGCCACTAGTACAGGACTCTGTAAGGTAACCCTGATACAGTTTTAGACATCTGAATAACAAAACTAAAGGAAACAGCATAACACACTCTTAATTTCAACACATAATTTTTTACCTGTCATGAGATTGAAAAGAATAAAAGAATTATTCAGAAGAACTAAATGACAGAGAGGACATCATGTTGATGACAACTGATCACACTGGGTCACTAAAAAATCTGATGACTCGTGTTTTGTTAAGTTCATCAAACTCGGATACCAGGTTATTTGTGGTTTATGTGTTTGATTCTATGTTCATTCCACACTTTGGTTTCTTTTTATTTGTTGGATTTTTTTCCCTCTTTAAATACTATTTTTATACTTCCTAGGTATCAGACGCTGGTTGATAACTCTGCACATCATTCTTACTGATACAATCCTCTTAATCCCCATGACCCTACTGTTCATTTGTCACGGCTCTCATGATCCCTCCAGCTTTCGTTTCATCCTCGCTCACCTCCTGGGTGAGACTGAACCCACTCTGCTTCCGAGAGTTGTCCTTCGTGAACACACACAAATCAGTTTAATCTCACTCTTTTGTCACAGTGATCAAGAGAAAATTGGCTCAAGTTCATCAGTAGGTTAGGCCAGAGCAAAACAAGGGTACATGATGGGGAAGAAAGGATCTCGCATCACCTCCAGTAGGGTCAGAGAAGCATGTGCCTTAACTGTCTGTTGGCAGCTCTTTTATGAAAGAAAGAGGAGCTGGAGGCATGGAGGTGGAGCCCTGAAACTATAAATGATTGGCCCTTGGTGATTGGTATCTTTGTCAAACCACTGAATACAAATCACCCTAAACCCTGCCAAGGTTGGAGCTTCTCAGTTACTCAAGAAATTTCCTTATAGTTAAAACAATGTACATCTTACTGCCACATCAAAAGTTATAACTGACACAGTAATAATAGTTAAGAAAAATAAGACCCAAGTATAATAAACAGCTGGCTCAAGCTAAAAACTCTGGAGGCAGGGTTAGAATTCAGATTTGACTCTAAAGATCTTGTTCACTTAAGAGGCCTTATTCCTGAGAGGTGTGGGGGTTCCAGACTTATTTCCTGACTGATGCCACCTAAAGGCTGGTGGCTGGGGCCTAAAAGCAATTCCAGAGACTTTCTTTATGCATCCCTAATGTTAAGGCTCAAAAATTTGTGCTTGACAAATATTTATTTTTAAAATGAACAAAGAAATAAATGAAGACTCCTTTTTGATCTACTAATCTCATGAAAACAAGAACAATGACAACAACCTAAACCTAAAGTAAAAGAATTAAAGAGAGAGATGTATAACCCTGCAAATTAAAATGCCTTGATTCCCACAGTCTTCCTTCTGTGCCTGCCCCCAAGTCACCAGATGTCCACCCTGGCCAAGCATTTTCTTAATCTGAATGAAATGGGAGCTCATGCAAAACCAATTGGGATTACCATCCGAGTCTGACTGTTCAGCAATGGCCTTGGCCCCAGGCCCAGGCAGGCTTCATCTGCAGCTGGGAGGTGCCCCGGGGTGGGAGCAGAGAGTGATACTGAGCCCTGGCTAGTCTCCAGCCAGCTCAGGCCATGAGCAGGAGCAGGCTCCCATGGGGAATGCTGGCAAAACTAAGTCTCAGCCAGTGCCCTCAGTCTGATCCCCAAAGGAAAAAATGATTCTGTGCCCCAGTGGTCTTCTTTACCATTTAGCTCCAATGTTCCTGCTTCTAACAATGAGGTGAACACACTACATTTAGTGGGCATTAGAGGCGACCTGGGGCAGGGACAGAGGGCGATGGGTGAGGGAAAGAGGAGACACCAGTGGAAACATTTTTTATGCCTGGTCTTCTATATCTCCCCACCTTCTGCTCTCTGCTAGAATGGGAGTGTACTTGGAAAGATATTCCTCCCTCAGCACCCCTCAATCCAGAGCTTTCCATAAAACAGTAAGGAAATCACTCATTTAGACATTTCCTGAAAGTCTGTCTCACAACACTTGACTAACAGAAGTTTATGGTGGAATCTGCTGAGTGTTTGATGAGCAATACTAAAGTTTAGGTAGGATGGACTGGCTCGTAGGCCTTTACAGAGACAAAACAACTGCTTTTTATTGAGTGACTATTATATGTTAGACATTTGTATAACTCCATAAAGTGAGCATTAACATTGTCCCAAAGAGGTACAAGAGAGTTATAACTTGTTTAAGGTCCAACTTCTAATGAATGGCATAGCCTAGACCCACACCAGGGTCTGATTGATTCCAGTGACCCTACTTCCATGAGTTTACAGGGAAAGCCAAATGCTCTCCAAAAAGCAAGTTCTCTTGGTTACTTAAACCTGCACCTTCCCATGCAGTTCAAGCAGCTAATGTGAAATAAACATGATCCTGGGGGTGGTGAAGGAACCATGTCTTTATCCACCACAACTCTTTGGGGGAGAGGAATGTGCATATAAATGAAAATGCTGTTGTAAATTTTCAAAATGAGCCCTTACATTTTTGTTTTATACCTTGCAAAGCATCCTTAAATAACACCGTCTCATCTGACAGTTATAAAATTGTTATATTGTTAATTGCCAGCATAATCACTCTCACTGTACTGATGAGGCAACTGAGATGGGAGCTGTTCAGAGTCTTGCCCAAAGTTCGCTGTTAAACCAGTGGCAGGCCGGATTAGAACCCAGCTCTCCTGATTGCTGGCACAGTGCTTGCCTCTTAGTTACTTAGATCCTCTAAATATCCTTGAAAAGGCTCTCTATGGAAAGGTATTTAAAATAATGAGTCTCTATGAGACAGGCAGCTCAACTTAGGTAAGAATCCTGATGTGTAGACAGGAAGAAGCCTGCTTTTATGTGAAGTAGAACTGAGGACTCCCCAAGCATGAGTGTCACCACTAGTCTTAATAATTTTTTTAATGACCCAGAGGAGGTAGCAGGAAAATATGCAGATGATTCTAAGTCTTTGGGATAGCAGGAAATTAAACAACAGAGATGAACTACAGAAAAATGTTCTACCTCTGTGGAACTGGCAATGAGGAAGGAGCTGTCACAGGAGCAGAGATCTCTGGGGATTATAGATCTCTTGGGGCAGAGTTTACAATTGTCATGTTCCTAACAGACTCTAAGACATGGTCAGCACTAAGTAGTTGGTGAGTAAACAAAAACTAGCTAAATTCTATCACTGAGCTGCTAGATGATCAAGTTAAGAGGTAGGATCAGGGAAGAGGACCTGGATATCACGACTTTTTACTTCCAGTATTTCAGAGCAGCCCAATGAAATGTTGGCCTACATTCCAATGGGATTTCAAAAGCAAATGGACCAACAGAGCCATCATCCCATCTAAGTCCATTTGAACATGAAATATCACTTTCACTCTTACCTCATAAAACAGACACATAATCCAGATGCTTGTAACCCCAGAACAGCCCAGGTCATAAGGAAAAATGGGATGGAAGGAAACCCTTGCTAGTGGCTGTGTCAGTCAGGAATGTCGAAGCCACCCTAAGAACTGTGAAACAGCAGCTTACACATGTAAGATTTGTTAGTCTGCATAGCATATATGATATTTTTGGATCACCTAAGCACTGAAAAAGGATTAAAACAAAATTGATGTTTTTTTAAAGATGGAAACGGTAAAGAGACTGACTGTTGTGTCATGAATGTAAATTGGGCTTTTTGGACAGCGTTGTAAATTTCTGAAGTTGTCACTAAGGAAGAAACAACATCCCAATATCCTGGAAGGAGTGATATACCTCATACTCACTTGTCACCTGCCTCGCATTTATTGAATGTTTGCTGTTTCTAGGCTCATAGCTAGTTTCTAGAAAGGAAACATGGGAGGTTAGCCCTGCCTTGCAGGTGACTGGATCTTGAACTCTCATTTCACACCATTAAAGCCAACTGGCAGATATGGCAGAAGGTGTTTGAAGGCTTTTATTTCTTCTTCCTAAGAGGTCTGGCCATCTGACTGGTGTATCACTAGGGGCGATCAGCCCC